GCATATATAAACATATATATTTATACGACTTTCAATACCGACTATTATGATAGTTAGTATGATATCAACGAAATTGGGCTTAGCTTCGGGTTGTTTCGCGATGAGTGTTGTGGTTTGGGTGTAACACTGTGTTTTGTCAGATAAACGATCACGATGGTTCATATATATACATACAATTCGATGTTGTTGTCTCACATTCTCCACTCAGTCACTCCGGCACAAGTTCGCATGCCCTTACCATTGCGCACATATGCAATTGCTCGGCGCGTGTGCTCAGAGTGATTTTCTTCGTTTGGCTTTTCTCCACAGTATCCAAGAACCAACCCAATGCTAAAGCGAACACGCAAAGAGCTTCCGCTCCTACGCCAAAGGCACCCGCGCCTGCGGCAAAGGCACCCGCGCCTGCGGCTACCAAATCAACGGGGTCTAAGAAAGTCACCAATCCGTATGCCCTGGGCCCGAATCCGGATGAGTCATGGCAGGTAGGTGCAGTGCCTTGCCTGTTGTGTTGTTGAAGTGAGAACGTTTTTGTAGAATGTTAGATGTTAGTCTATATTTTTGACCCAAATACGTATTCGCCGTACGTATTCTAGAGCTGCGAGTTACAATTCGAAGGCACATCTAGGGTAGTCACATCTCCATGCATTTCTCGAGTATATTATGCCTACAATATACGTTGGAACGTACAATACGTAGGGGGAGTCACATGTCCATGCATTTCACGAGTATAATACGCCTACAATATACGTTGGAACGTACACTACGTAGGCACATCTAGGGTAGTCACATCTCCATGCATTTCTCGAGTATAATACGCCTACAATATACGTTGGAACGGGGAACGGCTTATCTCACGCGATGACTCTCTCCTTTTGCTGATGCAGCCATCCGCCTTCAAACGCAAGCCCACAGTGTACGAACTGATGGACCGACACTTCACGAGCCGTCACCATGACTACGCACACCCCGGCAAGACCCACAAGCTCATGGAAGCTATCATCCACCACCTACACGACACCAAGATCGACCTCAGTGTGCATATCATGCCAGAAGAAGTCATCCAGCCGCACGACTGTGTCATGCGCAAAGACAGCCGCGGCAGGAGGCGCAAGCTGTGCACAACCACACCCACACGCACTCAAAGCAAACACAGATCACTACCCAAGGACGGGCACTCGGCACACCAAGGAGGTCATCGAGTTCCCCCTTTGCCGCTTGACCTTGTCACGTTGTATTGCATGGTTAGTATCAAGGGCGGGGCAGAGGCTGTCAACGGCGTAGAGGATGACAAGGGCTGGGCGGAGATATTGGATGTCATGATCGATAGGTGTGTGTGTGTGCGTGCGGGTGTGTGTGCGCGCGCGTGTGGGTTGGTGTGTGTGTGTGTGTGTGTGTGTGTGCGTGTGCGTGTGTGTGCGTGCGTGTGCGTGTGTGTGTGCGTGTGCGT